CCCCACTCCTATCCTCCTCTGCTCCTCCCCCACTCCTATCCTCCTCTGCCCCTCCCCCACTCCTATCCTCCTCTGCTCCTCCCCCCTCTCCTATCCTCCTCTGCTCCGCCCCCCACTCCTATCCTCCTCTGCTCCTCCCCCCACTCCTATCCTCGGCTCCCCCCACTCCTATCCTCCTCTGCTCCTCCCCCACTCCTATCCTCCTCTGCTCCTCCCCCACTCCCATCCTCCTATCCTCCTCCCCCACTCCCATCCTCCTCCCCTACTCCTATCTTCCTTTCCTCACAACCTACTCCTTCCTTTATTTCCTCCTCTTATCCCACTCCTTCGTCTTCGTCCTCTTCTTAACCTACTCCTTCCTTAACCTCCTACTCCTCCTATCCTATCCCTTCTGGGTCTTCTCTCCCCTTTCCTCCTCATTTTCCTATCCTTCCCTCCTACTCTTGCTCATCCCCCTTTCCCTTTCTCCCTCAGCCTCGCCAGCTATTGTTGTTTTAGTCATTATCACCACTAATACCACTGCCATTACTATTATCATTGTTGTTAGCATGATCACTATTGTTGTTGCTATTATCATTATTATTACAACTATTATTATAATTGTTATAATCATTATCACTATTATTATTACTCTTATCATTGTCCTTATGATCATTTACATCATCACTGTAATTATTACTATTATCATCACTCTTATGTTCTTTATCATCACATCTATAATCATAATCGTTCTTACTTATACCCTTTTCTTCAGAATTGCTATTATTATTATCAATATTCTTGTCCTTATCATTATATTGCTAATTACAAATAACAAAAACAATTATAATTACTGCAACAATACTAATAATAATACTTTCTAAAAACAATAATAATAATTACAATAATGATAATATTACAAAAAACTAATAGATTGTATAATAATAAATACTATGACTGATCATTTGTTTAAGCAGCATTAATAACCCTAGAAATATTATCGTTTTTAACACTGTTTTGTTTATCACAATCCGTGATTATTAGCATGATCTTGAACGCATAACAAGTGATATTAAGACCTTCGCTTCCTCTTTACAATCCTTAACCAAATTCACTCCATCTACCCAACTGGAGTTCCCTTCACTTGTCTTCACAAAACCCGCTGTGGGCCTATTGATTCCTGTGCATACCATCTCGGTGTTGTGTGTGGGTGAGATCTGCAGGTTGCCAAGCAGTGCAACTCCTGCACCATCTGCTGGGTGATTCTCCCTCAGAGAGAGCCACACACAAACTGAGGGGCTTTCTCTTTTCCCGGTATCTGTGGCACCCATTCCCCTACAACAAATGCCTACATTCTTATGCTCTGGGAACTGTTCATGCCATCACCCTAATTCCTAGCACATGAAATACATGTGTCCTTCAGCCTTCTGAGTTTTCATTTTCTTACAAGGAATGAAAATAAGAAAGATTGATTGACAAACAGCAATAGACAGCAAGGGAGGAGTGGAATAGATTCCTAGCAAAAGTTATTTATCTAAGTCTGCAACTCATGTAGCTTGAAATTGTGACTTATCATAGCCTGCAATTCATGTAACTTGAAAATGTGATTGATCATAATGTGCTACCTATACAAATAATATATGCCCCCTCATGACTGGTCTTGATAGAGTTCATCTACCTGTATGATCAATCACTTTCTTAAAAAGAAAATATAAATAACTAACTAAACAAATAAATAATAAATAAATATAAGCATAGTCTCTTGAAATCAATAACAAAATTGTTGTGGGGAAGATAATATCCGCTGTATCTTATCTTATCAAAAACCAAAGGACTAGATCCAATGCAAGCTATGATCTCTTATCATGATGACTTACAAGCTGACAATTCCTGATAGTCACCCATTTTAAGGCTTCTGTACTTTATATAAATGGTTACATATAGTAAAGCCCTGTAGCTGTTTAATTTTGGTTCATTTCCGTATCACTTACAACTGCAGTTTTCACCCTATCAATATCATCTATAATAAAAACAATTACATAATCAACCTTTAAAATACACTATATCAATGAATCCAAGCAAAAGAAACATTTCAAAACTTGTGCTAAATATGAATGAAAGAGGTACACCAGAATATAGGCAGGAATTATTCCATGTCTTGTATAATCATTGATTTACTTAATACAATAACAAAAAGTCTTAATTATCTGGACTTTAAATGACATAAGAAAAAGGATCCCTTTCCTTTTATAGTCCGTCAATTTTACTTCCATAAAGTCTGAAGTGGACATACTGCCTAAATAATATTTATAAAAGAGATAACTTTTAAAAATATTTCCTATACATTCTTTAGCTGAACTTTTTAGTTGTCAGTTATGCTTATCAAATAATCTGCATAATCCCTTTAAGGCTTTTTAATACTATCACCATTTAGAAGTATTTTTTCAGTCTACAATAAATTTGAAAACCTTGGTTCCATATATACTCTTAATTTTCTTACAGAAATATAAAAGAAAAGAAAAGAAAAACAAATATAACAATGGCAGCTATTTTAGATTTTGAGGACACCCACAGCACATTACTTCTTTTGAAATTCCCTCTCGCAAACATGATTTATCAGAATTCGGTAGAAACATTACTGTGATCCACTGCCTGCCTCCACTTCATTGGCACTCCAGCAAAGGCTAACAAACTCCCACCACAGACATTTTGGCAAAACCGAGCTTGGACTGCTTTGTTATTTGTTGCAAAGTCAGTATGGAGATCCGCAAGCTCTATCCTGCCTAAAGATATGTGGTGAAGGTTTGTTGGACATGGCCAGAGGGCCAACTGGTGTGGAGGACAAACAAATCAGTTTCAGGACAATAGCAGACATGCACGTAACTTGTAAAAATTTATCAAGGACAATTTCAAAGATTATATCCAAAATGCCACACCTAATGGGTCCACACTTTCAAAGGAGCATCACCAATCAAGGAACAAGATACCAAAAATAAATTGGAACTATTGCCGTTACCAAACATTTCTAATCAAGTCTCTCTCTGCATATTTCATGCAAACAGGATTATACACTAAATTTTAAACATATCCTCGTACTCTATAATCACAAACACATGTTCAAATGTGCGGTGAAATGCATACAAAAAAATAGGAATATATGAACTTACCCAAAAAGTTTTCGATGACGCAGACCCCATACATATTGAGGTCATTTATGACGCACTGCGCCAATCTGTTGAACCAGTTTTGATTAAATCCCACTTCCTCAAGGGACTGAGAATCCGTGAACATTTCCACATGTTGAAGCGATGGCGTTCGAGGCCGTGGGAGGTGAGGTGATGCTTCGGAGGCTTCATTAGGGTCTAAGGGTGCGTTCATTTCAGGGTCCCCTCGCGATCTTCGCCTGCCACTTCTCACACCATCACCATTGCTCTGAAATGGCAAATTGCAGTCACTGACATCGTGTCCACTCATCATCGCATCAAGAACTGCGGAGTCAAGCGTAAAATTAGTCTTTTGGGAAACCTTCTTACTTCTCGCCTCATTTTTTTCCGAACTGGACTGAGTCGCTCCATTTTTTGGCTTACAGAAAGCCTTGTGTTTCTTCCAGTGCAGTCTCTGGTGGTCTTGGCCACAGTACCAGGCTGCCCTGCACCCACTGCACACCATGAGGTGCTCCCCTTGGCGGCTGCACTGCCCACACGCCCGTAGGCTCACGCCCTCACTCATCTTGCCACGGGGCACAGTCAGCACACACCCAGCATGGCCTTCAGTAGCACCGTGGGCACCAGGGGCCTCCCAGGGATGGCTCCTCATCCCAGGGGCACATGCCCGGCTCGCCCGGCGCCAAGCAGGGTGTCACTAGCCCGTGCCTTTCCTTGTCCACTGAGCACCACCACAGGGAAAATAACAGGGCATTTAAGCCACGACCTTAGTCACAACAGAGGGAGTTTGGAGTCACAACTGTCGCCTGTCACTGCTGGCGCCCCCCTGGCAGCAAGCCCACGCACTGCCGCCGCCTTGCCCTCACTGTGCCAAGCAGGCAAGCACTGCTCCTCGCCAGGAAAGCGCTCATGCAGGCCGTCCGTGCGCCGCAGGACGTGCCAGACCCGCTGGTGGCAGGCCGCGAGTGCAGACCCTGGCCAGCGTCGACTGCTGCTCCTCTCAGCTGTTGCCCCACTCCCTGTGCTGCCCACTCCCGAGTCCGGGTCTGGCCTTCCTGGCCCCGATAATCTATATTTGCCACGTTAGTTTTCCCGACGCCCTTGCTCGCCCCTCCACGCGGGCTGGACGAGGCCGTGGGATGTCCTGCTCGGCCGCGGCTCGGCTGGAAATGCGGCCCCGCGGCCCCAAGGACCCGCCCGAGTTGTCAGGTGCTCAATAAAGCGCCGGAGAGGCAAGTTTGAAACAAGATCTGGCGCGCGGCGGCCTTTTCATCCCCTATTGCCTCGCCCTCTGCCCTAGGACAACACGCCCCTGGCAGCCGCCCTAGGACAACACGCCGCCGGGAGCCGCCCTGAGACGCTCCTGCCGAAGGGGACCGAGGGTGACTCAGGCTGACCCCAACATACCCTGTGACCCCGCCGGAAGCCGTACTTTGCAGCTCCTTCCCTCCGCTCGGGGGGAGTGCCGCTCCGACCGGGGGGACGGCAGGGCAGGAGCCAGGCAATGGCTGTTTCTTTGAGGAATAATATAGCTGACAACACTCAGAAATTTATGTTCAAGTTGGTTGGTTGAAAAGCTCCCGTGTGATTAAATCTTTACATCAAGGAAACACTTTGCAAAGGTTTAGTAAAACATTTCACCTGATAAAAGCCAAGGCAATTGCGCTATTACGATTTCTTATTGTTATTTTCCGTCTTAAAATTCCGATAAAAACGTATGAAAGATCTTGAATATATTTGCATAACGTAGAAATATGATTTAAATTTATTTATTAATTATATTTACACAAGGCCGTTTAATAAGAATATCTCTACCTTCCCTTCCACCGAAAGCAACGCGACAAAAGCCAACTCGATGTCCCTGATGAAAAGGAATTCTGGCTAAACTCGCGCCGAAACCCCGTGGCTGAATGTCACCGAGAGAGTCTTCCCCACATCCTGGTGGAGGCCGTTCCACTGGGTTATCGTTACCATTGGCGTTATCAATGTCCGTATCAGCGGCAGTGCCCGTTACAAAGACCACTTATGTTCTCCCGGGACACCCCTGCAGCGCCTCCGAGGGAACCCCCCTTCCGCCCACCTCGACGGAGGTGCGACAATTTGCATGAAAGGCCGTGTCCTCAGCGCCCGGTCATGAAGTCCAGCGCATGAGAAAGAAAGACGTAGCATGTCTGGGCCGAAGCCTGGCGGGCGTCCTCGCGCCCTTGGCTGCCCGCGAATGACGAAGGACACCGCCTGAAGGCCACGCCGGCGCCTCTCGTGGCCCCTTCTGTTCTGCGGACGTGCTACTCCAGCGGTGACGGCGCGGACGGCACGAGATAAGGGACTAAGTCATTCTGGCATTGCTGCTCCAGTGCGGATCGATGCCTGGAAAGAGGCCTGCCGTTGGGCAGCGGCTACGGCCCTTCGCGGAGAAGCAGCTGCACGTCTGTGTCCGGGCTCGTGCTCCGGGAGGGCTTGGCGCTTGCTTGGGAGGCGGTGCACGCGGACTAAACTAAGATTGATACAGAAATCCTTCTATGGCTGAGGCTAAGTCCTACCGGCGTTCACATTTCTAAAAAGCGAGGAGAGAGAGAGAGAGAGAGAGAGAGAGAGAGAGAGAGAGAACTCGCAGATGTTTAGTTGAAAGCAATAGAAGTACATCTAGTAGTTAAACTGCTGCCAGC